AATTTTGGTCTTCATATTTACGATTTAAATAAAATTAGAAATGAGGACTAAAATGTTGTGGCATCTGTTTCGGTCGCATACTTCTTTTGCTGAATTGAAGTGATCTGACCTCGTTTTCGCAACTTGGCTGTGTTGCCAGCTAGACCTAGTTGGACTTTACTTGTCTCTTTGACGAATTGTGGCTTGGCCCGTGCTAAGAATGGCAAGATTCACTAACGGTGCTGACTAAATGCCGGCGAAACGTCCACGGTACAACGTTTTAGATATTATAACTACTGATCGGACAATTCGCGTCCAACTAGGTTGCCCTGACAACACGACCAGTTGGTCGAAACGAGGTAAGACCACTTTTGTACACATTTTATTTTTATCTTTACTGAGTAGGTTTTCGCGACTGCCAGTAAATCAAATATACTATTTAGGTTCAACCTAATTCGCTTAAGATGATGAAGAACTGGTAGTTGCATTTTCCCACAATGATATGAGTGGAGCTGACATTTCCAGTGAATTTAACCCTGGATGAGAACACGTTATGGGAAAGCAAGACTATGTTAAATTCAATGGAAATGTCAGCTCTACTCATAGCATTGTGGGAAAATTCAACTACCAGTCCTTCATCAGCTTAAACGTAATAGGATGAACACAACTCATTATATTTTTAGCAACTATTTAAGGTTTCTGAGCAAGGCCACTACGTCTCGTCTTCCGAATCTCAATACTCCGTCAAATACTCGCCCATAAAGCACATACAGATTTTAACTCTGAGCAGCAAATAAATAAAAACAAAAATATGAATTTAAACCAATGAGGGTTACAATTAGCAAATACTCACCAATCAGTGGAAAGTCACTTGAAGCAGACGGAATGTAGTCCTCCAGGAGGAGGAGCAGAAGAAAAAATGCGATGAAAATATTCATACCTGAAATGCATAACCAACAAAGAAATAGTGCTGTCGTAGAGATGCATACGTACTATCGAGTTAAAGCAATTTTCAAGCCTGGATCAGAGTCAGGCAAGTCTGACCTAGACCCTGAACTACCCCAACCATGAACAGCTTTTGTCAAGATAACAAGGCTAAGTGACCCGAAGGAGCTGGGACAAAGTTAATGACGCCGATGAATTAGTGCGCTCTGCGAAAAGACGTTAATTGCTGAGCATACCAGTTGGCCGCCGATTATTTGGCGTTGAGTTAGCTGATGACTGATTTGGCTGCTGAATGAAGATAATACAACTGGATTTTTGTCAAGATGTGAAAGTTTCGACTGCTTTTATGCCGGTCTGTTTGACCTCACTTCATCGTATCATTAACACCTCTGGCGGGATTCGAATTGTGACTATGCATGTTGAAAGCCGAACACTTTTGCCTCTTAAAGATACCTGGCAAACACAACTTTATGAGCAAATAAAGCGTACTTTGAGGGGAATTAAGTAGTAACATACAATCGTGTTTGACCTTCAGCATAAGCCAGATCTGCTGATTTTCTCAAGCTAAAATCGCACTGAAAAGGATGATTTATGAGAGGTCTGACTTGTCTTAATTTGTCTGCCCTGCTCTCTGGTTCATTGTTACTCTTGCGTAGCTGAATGCAAAGTGTGGCAACTTTACTCTCAAGATTCGTATTCTAATCCCCTTGAGGATGCTTTCGGGACCCAGATGAGGTGAAAAAGGCAGTCCAGCCAAGCCTGGACGAGAAAGCCGTTTTATCGCAAGGCCAAGTTATATTAAATGGCGCCATAAGGTGAAAAACTTTTTAATGTGTCTATAAATCAAGTTAATTGATCTATGCTGACTAAAATATTATTGTTACTACATATTTACCGTCACAAAATTTCATTTAATTAATACGAATAATACAAGTATTATAATTGAGTAGGATCTCGAAGCTATCTTTCGATCTTGAATAATAGCTTTAGTCAGCCAAGGTCGATTGAGGGGATGAGTGACTGAGAATGTATTTTCCTCAATGTGATGAGTAGGCCTTAAGATATAAATAAATTTTGCTTCACCTTGCTTCCATAAGGTAGGAACATTCAGGATGGACTCCAGTTTCGACCTCGTCTAGTTTTTATTCAATATCTACTGATACCCTTGAAATTGTACTCAATTCGAATGAAAGTAGTCTTGACGACTGTGATAACAAATACCTGCTTGCTTAACCTATAGTCTTATTATTAAAAAAAATTTGGTACGAAAGGGGCCAAAATTGACTTAAAATTAATTTCTGCCTCGTGACCCACTGGCACTCTTGGGAGTGCATTTTAGTGGGAATGTGTTGAAATCATACATTGCCCCACTTGGATTCTAATTCGGTTGAGGTGGTGATGAGGTCCAGGTGAGGTGCAGTCCGGTCTAGGAATCATGGCTAAGTAAAGTCCAATCAAAACAGCAGGTCTATTTCACCCAATTGTGGCAAAGTTCACTATCAGTCCTTCATATCGTTGAGTGGCCTAGGATGACTAAGGCTCTTATTCCATATCTAATGATGGTCTCGAAATCATACTCAATATGACTAAGTTATTATTAATATTTTTCAGCTATTAATCATTGAAAGCTAAAGTGATTATTTCCATTATATAATATATTAGTGTATAAAACAAATATTAAATAGTTATTCTTCCAAATAGAATATCGTAGAAAGATCTTGAGATTGTCAGAATTCTGCAAATCCGTCGGATCACAGCCTTCTCCCCCACCTTAGATACTGTGGGGCCTTCCAGTCGTCGTGGTTCAGACGAGAGCCTGCTTATAGGTCCTAGCGACCAGAGCAGAGAAGGCCTGTGGTACGGAGATCGGATAACGGCGAATTGGTAGGACTCATCCTAGGCTGTTGGCAAGAGATTAAGGCACTATTCAAAGAGATTGCCTCAACAGGTACTAAATGGATGTCGGCGGGATTGGGGAAGCGACACGGTACACTTGGGCATTCTGCTCTACATAATCTGGCCTCTCCTGACAGGGACCTGGAGGAGTTGAAATGTCAGCCAGGGGTTGTGTCATACTCGGCGATATATGATGCCCAACTCTTCTGAAGGCTGTGTCTGGACAGGACCTCATTGGTCGGATCACAACAGACAGGAGTATCGAGAAGTTGACATCGGATTGGTTGCTCGCGGCTCTCCCAGCCTCAGATGTCCGTAAACTCTGTCTGTGTGAATTTGTCCATCTGTAGGACAGCAACAACAACACCTCAAACAGGCCCAAAACCAGTAAATCTCGCCGAAAATTCGACCCTGCTATTGCGGCCTTGACGACAAAAGGAGGAAATAAGTCGTTCCTTCGAGAACAAGGGTTCTAGTCCCATTGGTGAATCTTTCCCCAACCAGACAACTCGGCCTCACAACACCAAAAGGTGCTCTTATTCATGGCTGACTGCAGTTTCAACCTTGTCTGGATCGCATCAGCACCCTTAACAGGACCCACAAATGGATAATGCAATGATACCACTAGACCGGATCGTCCAAAGGACAGAAGTGCATTTTGAGGTAGGTCAGGCCTCTGGAATTTAACATTTTATAAGAAGATCCTCGATGCGGAAAACTTGTATTTTTTTGTTTATAAGTGTGTTTTCTAGACAGAATGTGATATGGGAAAATGTCTGACCTTCCTTGAAATTCACATCTTCCCTGTGGCCCAAGAGCAATCGTGTCAATGTGGTGTAGTGGTTAGCGTGTCGAGATTACTCGCTGAACTGTCATGGTTTGAGTCCTGCTGGGGCGCTGAAGATACCAGTTTAGGCGAGGTCAAAACTGCAGTATATTCCTGCCGAAATGAGAATGCTTTAAGGAAAAGTAAGGCTATATGCAATTCAATTGAAACATAAGGTCTACTCGTATGATTGTGGTAAAATTCAACTACTAGTCTTACATCACCTTAGACGAAATAGGGTGAAAATTCTCATATAAACTTGTATGTTGCCACCCCAATCGAGACTACTCTTTACAAGAGTCCTAGTCTCCTAGCCACAATTCATCTGCTCACCTAGCCACTTTAACCTCTCGCGAACATCAACTTTGAAATATAGCGAGTAGGAGATTTTAGAAAATGCCTCATGTTGAAACGATCTCAGCCTATCTAGCATAAAAAGCCGAGTCATTTGATATACAGGAAAGATGGATAGTTGAGTTCTTCCCCTCGAAGTGAGTAAAAAGTTTCATGATGACGTTAGATTTTACTTGTTTAGCTTACTTCCATTTCGAGTTAAAGCGCTTGGTGGAGAGATTCGAAGGCCTATCTCTCCATAAGACGACAGCGGATTCCGCTTGACGAGCCGTCAATTGGCTTTTTTGGAACATTCTTGTTGACGCTGTCTCTGAGGCAATCTCTTTCGGTTCCGAAGAAAACGTGTGTCGGAAATTGCCAGGGCAAGATATCAACCCGCCCAAAATCGAGCTAAGCTTGTCTTGCAGTTGTAACTGTCGATGTGAACCGAAAACTTCCCTAATCCATCTTCTTAAAGCTAATTCTCAGCTTTTCTTGGACCCCGCCATAATTTAGCTGGCTACGTTAGGATTTAAATTAGGACAAAGTAGGTTTTTGTGACTTTTAGTAGATCTAAACTAAGAGCTTTAGTCACCCTAGGGCTGGCCGTTTAACTTTCCCACAATCTTATGAGTTTCCATTAAAGTTCCCATAGGTTAGCTACCCAAAAGGTATTCTCCTCCGGGCTGGATTGCAGTTCCGAGATTGCTTTTTTTAAACCACGGCAATGCGAAATTCAGTTGAGACTTTTGGCATTGTGGGAAAATGCAATTATCAGTCCCCCACCCCCTTATACAATCTAGGATGAATAGAACTTTTCTTCAAGATTTACTGATAGCCCCCAAAAGCTACTTTATCTGAATATAAGTAATGTAGTTGATTCTAATGGAAAAATAATAGTTTATATATAATGTATTCATCTTATTTTGCTTAAGTTGCTAAAGGACTAGTAGTAGAATTTTTCCATAATATAAGTGATCTACTGGTAGTCTCGAAAAGCTAATTATAAAATAATAATAAAAGTTTAACAATTTCACTGTAAATGTGAATTGAGAGGTGCCTGATCTTTCTTCGACTTCTCGTCTCTCCCAGAGGCGCTCGTGATAGTGTGGCGTAGTGACAACATTTCAAGATAATTTGCTGCACGACCCAAGTTTGAGTCCCACTGGGAGAGCTGATGAGAGCTGTGTGAGGTCGAAGCTGCAGTTTATCCTGGATGCGTAATCCTCTTGC